AGTGGTCATGCCAATGCTCAGACGCACGCACCACCTCTCAGCCCGGACAACCATCGAATAAAATCATCCCCAGTCTTCTCTCCCCGAGACACACAAAGCTCTTCCCCACCCCCCCCCCCCCCCCCGGAAAAAACGTTCCACCCCAGGGCTTTACCCTCTCCGGACTCGAGGAAAAACTATGCTGTAACCAGAAAAATGTTGTACCAAGAGCGAATATCACTATCGTCCGCTCCCCTCTCCCCGTGGGAACCAACAGCGGGAACAACAACCCTCGCATGTTCATGTACTCCGGCCGCCCATTATGCGGAAACAACAGGTATCTACGACCGTACACAGCGCTGCTGCTGCTGCTGCTGCTTATGCGCACTACCACCCTCGCTCTTGTTCTGGTGCGTATACATCCAAATATTTGTACGTGAAATAAATAAAACAGAAGCACTCACTCCACGTTTGCTTCTCTCTCCCTCTCTCTTGCCGCGCCCTTTTACTTTCCTGCCCTGTTCACACGAGCACCCCCGAAAACATGCACACGAGCGCCTTGGCTTGCCGCCAGGCACACCGGCCCCACGTGTGCCGAAACTAATCAGGCGCTTTTCATTTCACGCCGGTGCTACATTTACAAGTACGCTACTATTAAAACCACTTTCTTCGTCGAATAAATCCGTCAATCAATCCGTTACAACGGACACAATATTTTCCGCTTAATACTCCGGTGTAAATCACAACCGTATCAGTAGCGCTTTAAAAAAAGGTGGTACGAACGACGCATGGGTCCCCACATACCGACTTTGCAGGCACCCCTTCTAAATCTTAATTAAGTCGTGGCGGCGGCTGTGTGTTGAGGGAGGGGTTGGAAAACCCCTTCAATTTCATGCCACGGAGTCCCCAGTGGAAGGGCCGGCCGTGATGGCGGCGGCGGCGGCGGTGGGCTTGCGTTCGAGGGTCGACTGCTGCATCTCGGGGCTGCGGCACTGGTACACCGCGTTCAGGAGTTCCTGGCACTGGCTCCGAACGCCGTTGGACCCTACGTGCGTACAACAGATTCCGGGAACGGGGAGGGGTGGGTGGGGGTCGTGGACGGCTCTCGTGCATGACTGGCGTGTAGATTGATTCGATCGGCTCGATTGCAGGGGGTAATATGCATATGTAGGAGGTTCGTTTGCACACATACATGCTGCTCGTTGGACAGCACCTCACGACACACGCTCTGCAGTGACGGCGGCTGAACGTTTACAAACACGATGACAGACAACAACACACAGCGCATTCGCCGCTCGGAAGGAAAAAGCTCACGCGTTGCGCAGCACGCTACCCCTCTCAGGGTCGGCCTACCTACCCGGCAAACAGATATCACAGCCAATAGCACGGAGTAGGGGCGCTTTCAAAAGGCTCCGTGGCGATCGGCTTTTGCATCCGCGTGATCTGAGTGAAGAGTGCGATATGGGGCGTGTGCCCAGCACAATGTCACAGGAGCCACATGCCAGCAAGAGGCGTGGTATACAGCAGTGTGTGGTGTGTGGTGCCTCTTTCGTACATTCTTTGCGCGCGGTAGACGAGCCAACTATATGGCAAGCGCAATCAATAGAGATCAGACCAGAGAGAGAGAGAGAGAGAGAGAGAGAGGCAATCCGGTCTTCGCAAGCAGTTTTGAAATCAAATAATTCACATCTAGATGTCGAACTTGCTCCCGACTTTCAAGCCCATAATTAGAGGCCCGCCCGCAAACACCCTACAAGTGTTGTCCCTAACCCTGCTATGCATACCCAGCTTCATACGGAGGGAGCAAGTACACACCATGGATACGGTGCGAGCTTCGCTGGTTGGCGAGCAACGGATACGTGCCTGTGGGTAAAAGGGCCGTAGTACAGCAGCCTCGCCTTCGGACGTCATCAAGACCACCAATTCCCACCAGTTATACGACGACGTGGCAAGCACTACAAGTACATACATACATGTCCTGGGTGGGGAAGATGATATTTGCGTGCGCCTCGGAAGACGTGAACAGCAGCAGTACTCTTACTGCTGAAAGAAACTGATATCTACCGGTCTTCCGTATCCTGCTGCTCTATCTACTGGACGTACGTATCCATAAAAAAATCTACGGATAGATTGTCAAGCCGAAAATAATTTTCGGTTGATTTGGGTGAATGAACGGTGAAACACTCCTCTTTTTAGAGCGAGCTGTCTAGGAAAAAAGTTCAACACAAGTAACGAACGATCCCAATCAAGAGACAGCCTGCGGGGGCCGGTGCCGAAACGCAGAGACGTAAGGCGGGAGGGGTGCCACGGGATTGAAGCAAGCGCGGCATGAAGGGGTGCTCTCCCGGGTTAGCAACAACCCTTTTTATGCGACATGACATGAAAGCCAGCGCGCGGCTTCCTTTCCGCCGATGTGTAGGATGCATTTCGACTGCTTGTATGTCTGTTCCATGCATGTTTCCTCAAAGAGCCAAATATCTGAAAGAAGACAGCAACGAGGAACCGAGTCAATGGGGGGCGGCGAACTCACTTTTCAGGCACCGGTACCCGCGCATGGTGGCCTCGGTGCACACCTGGAGGGTTCGTTCGAGGGCGGCGGCCGCGCGCGTGCGAGGGAGGGAAGAGGCAGCGGGGGCGGAAGGGTAAGAAAAAAGGGACAGACCTCACCAGAGATACCGCAAAAAAAACACATCTGGTGGTGGTGTTTCAAAAAATCAAGCGATGATGATCGCTGTACTCGGGCAAACAACAACAGGCGAATGCGCGCTCGCGCGGGTGGGGAGAGGGCTCACCGGCGAGTGCCTGCGCTTGTTGGCCTCGTGCTGGCGATCATACTGGCGGTTCCAGGCCTGCATATTGCTGTCTGCTTGTTCCATGGCGTGCTTCTGTGGCCTTGCTCTTGATTGTGGTCGAGCTCTTATATCTTCTTCAAGTTCCTTTTCGTAACCTTGTCGTCGGAACGCGGCTGCTGCCGTGTGAGGGAAGTGAGTAGTAGTCGGGTGGGCCCAGTGAAGATATTGCTTTTGGTCGGGGGCAGAAGAAGCGGGCGGTTGTGTACGTGTGTGTGGCTGAGAGGGATCAGGGCGATGTACAAATGCGTATGTTCTGCTAGAAAAGGCAACAGCTGGAAATGAACTGCATGCTGATTGGCCCACTGGTTTTGAGAGGGTGTCATGCAATTCCGTCTTTTCCCCGAAGCCCCGGAGCCCCCTTGTTGCCGCTCAAGAAGGCGGCTTCCACCTTCCACCTTCTGGTGTACCACACGCTGAAGCAGAAGTGGGGTCGCACGGCTTGGCGCGCGAGCGCGCAACACACGTCAACGCCAAGATGCCTTACATTCGAGATGGTGAGACAAGTCCTGGACAGAGAGAGACACAAAATCGCATCGCCATTTCGGGGATGCGGAGGAATCAGGCGTTCGTGCGACTACTGTCTGTTGAACACGTGCCGACGTGGTCAAGACTTGTACCGGTTACGGTTGGGTTGCCTCCGCAGCTGCCCTCTTGCCGTGCAAGTACGCGCAAACTTCGTGTTGGGTACGGCGGCTGAGGTAGATAGATGACTGCCCACCATTAGCTGCATTTGCAGTTCAAGTGAACCTTTCCTGATGAGGAGAAGAACATCAGTACGTTCGGCCGTGTTGCGTAGTGGCGAGAGTGACTGGACGCTGGACGCTCGCCGCTACTGCTGTTCCGCCGCTATTTTGTGTAGCGGTGGTGCCGCTCTTCTAGGCTACTGCTGTTTCATAGCTCTGCACGACCCGCTTTGTTGACCATGCCGTTATGCTGCACTGCTGTTTTCCTCCCGGTGTAATGAAATAGTAGTGCTTTTCTCTAGTTTGCCCCGCCTCGCCCCGACAATGGTACGGCTCTACACTATCTGCAGCAGTTGATACACTACCACAGCTGTAAGGCGTGCATCCCCAGAGCCTGGAAGATAGATTTGTACTTAGCACCAGCTGGCATCACTGGTATAAATCATCAGTGTATAGACTTAAAAAGACTCAAAATAAGTCCAGTACCTAGCCGGTTTCCCTCCACTCACTGAAAAGACTCCACCACATCCCGTTCGACTGTGGGTATATCTCGAATGGGTAGTCTTTCTGTGTGTGTTTATATTATTCCTTAATAGATATCACGGTTGACAACTGATACTGTAGCACGTTTCTCTTCGGAGCGAAGGTGTATCATCTATACTGCCGATGAATTGTAGTCGTGTACGAAGTAGAAGGGTCCTTATGTTCTCCAATGGTGTAGGGTGTGTGCCACCTCTCTCTTCGCACGATGTGTGGCACCGTTCTACGGTACATATGAGCGATCCGGGCGGTGAATCGCGTTTGGTCGAACCTCTCTCAGCAACCAAGGGTATCCGTGCAAGTGGAAGAGGCGGATGTTTCTTACATTGTCATAATAGTCTACAGCATCAAGGGCGCGATGGTATTACACACACCGCAATCATTCCAGACAGACAAAGTGCTCAAAAGGTAGACAAACGATGGGACAAACAGCTAAAGGTGTCGTTGACAAGCAAGGGAGCCCACCCAGCGGTAGCATGTGGCACTCCTGCCCTCTCGGTGTGCGATTCTTCCAGCCCTGGAGAGAGATATCTAACTCGTTGGCGGAGATTGTCGTGAGAGAGAGCGCAGCGCACGCTGTAGGGGAGACAAACAAAGAGCAGACGACGTCTATGTGGTTGGAGCCTAGAACCGCCGTAGCCGTATCGGCGCATTTAGGCAGGAGGTACAAGTACTCGAAAGACGAAAATGCCGGTGGCAACCTCACGCTGGCGTTGTGGTTGGTGTATGGAAACGCCAAGGGGTATGTACCCTGTGTGTGTTTCGTCCTGTTTATTTACCCTGAGTAGCAACTGCCGCGTAGAACGGTAGCCGGATGTTTGTGCCACCGAGGCGTGGCGATTTGGAAGCCGCCCGCCAGGCGAATGGCAGCAGCTCGTACGGCGCTCAACGAATCAAAACACGTACCTATATTCTTGCTATGCACACCATGACTCTAATACGGGGAAAGATGTGCTTGTTTATATCCGCTGCCCCTTCTAACTTCTAACCCCCTCCAAACTGCCGCTGCTGCTGGTGCTTTTAATTTTTTAGGGCAAGTGGTCGCGCAGCGGTCCGTGTTCAGGCCAAGCATCATCATGGAGATGTTCTGGAAGGTTCTGAACATCATCGGCCTCTTGTAAGTCGCCCGCATTCGGTTATGAGACTAATGTTGTTCATGTGGGCGGCCCAGTCCAAGGGAATTAACCACGACGCCGTGGATTCTGGAAGTGTGCCAGATTGTGGAAGTGAGGTACATGTGTAGTACTTGGTGAATGCTTATTCTATGGCAGTAACATCATTGTGACAGGAGTGCGAGAGGCCTACGTATGTAGGTTCCTGGGGGATCGCACTCGATGTTGGGTTCGACTAGGGACAAGCCTGTGCTGCACTGCGTAGTAGATGGATTGAACCCACACGTTTTCGTTTTTTCCCCGGCCGCTTTTGTGAACGAACCCCCTTCGGTTGGACCGCGGCTTGGACCGGACCAAACCGTTCGGGCGCATGGAATCCAACATCGTCTGGGTTCGAAGCTTCGGCACCATGTCAGCGGTGAGAGTCAGTAGTAGTTGGTCGACAAAGCGTTCTGACAAGCATCGGGCCACAGGCGGGTGTTCGAAGCGAGATTTCAGGACAACCTCACCCCACCCCCCGCTGGCTATTGGATTGAAAAGGCAGAGGTCTGGTCGAGGCAAATTTTACAGCGCAACCCCACCCCCCTTTGGCTGTTGGATTGAAAAGGCAGAAGCGATTTTACAGCGCAACCCTACCCCCGGCTGGCTGGTGGATTCAAATTGTAGCGACCTCGTCCAATTAGTGGTACAGGCCAAGCCTCCTCCGTACCCCTGTCCGACGCAAGGTCTTCCTTTTACCCCGACCCTTCCTATCCCATCCGTTCGGCGACAATCACAGAAAACGCCCACGCGCAAGCCCAGGAAGGAGCGTGGGTATCACAACTACCTGGGAGGGGGTGGGGGTGGGGGGGGCGGGGACGATGACAGCGGGGGAGGCGGTGGCGGAAGAAGAGGGCCAAACATCCACTCGGTTCAGCCTCCAGGTAGGATACGGGAGCAGTCCGTGGTCTGTCAGCTCGTGAACCAAGCTTGGGATCCTGCAAGCTGTGTGTATTTGTGGTACGCTGTTCGTTCGTGCTAGACAGCGCTCTTGGAATCACGCTCAAGGCAGCCGGGCGAAGAAGGTGTATTGATTTTAGGTGCAAGAAGGGGATGCATGTGTATGCATAAATAGGTGCGTTGTGTTCTCCGTGGTTAAGACTTGAGGGCTGAGTGTTTCGTCTCATGGGCTTGTTTCTCTCTTCTTCTTTCCGGCGGAAGCTCGCCGCTACTGTAGTCTTGTACCTCCGCCACGAAAAGCAATCACGTTTTGTCACTATCTCACTCGGCGCCCAGCAGAGATGCAGGGATCAAGCACACACACCATGATGACGATTTGTACCGCGGGCTTATCATCCGCCGCTCTTCGTGTGCCTGTCGCGACCTCCGCCCGCACCCCCGCACCCTTCATGCCGTGCATGTGTCTTGGCTGGTCCAGACTCGTGCAGCACCGGCGGTGGCGGCGGGTGAGGGTAAGGCCGCAAGTATACCCGGGACGAAAGAACGCCTCCATCTTTTGTAGGTCCGTTGCGGGCGCACGGCAGCTTCTCAGCTCGGGCGGTGCGCCCGAGAGAGGAATCGGGGTGATGCGCCGCTCGCGGACACGCTGCTGCCAACAACAACAGTGCAGTGAGAGCACCACCGCGTGTAGTGTGCCGCAGCAGCGTGGATGAGCAAAAAAAAAAGATGAGGGTGCGACGTCTCGGGAAGACTTGCGGCCGCCTTTCGACCGCCGCCTTGAGGGCGACAAGCAAGAACGTCAAGGGCCTAAACAGTGCGGAATGATCAGGAAGCGGAAGCGGGGGGGGGAGATGGCTTTCACAGCCCCCATCTCTGGGCCCCTATCTTCGCCTCCGTACCTGCGGACCGCATTCATCGTCGATCGATCGGCCACGTTTGGCCGCGAATGCCGGGTGGTTTCGCCAGAACATTGCGCATCACCTTTGTGTGCACAAGAGACCGAGGATAATGGGCTTGACGACTTCCCGGGGGGGGGTACTGGGGCTTCCGACTCCTTTTTTCTTTTTTATGTTTGGGGGGGGGGGGGGGGGGGGAGCGCTATGACGTGGCTATTCTTAAAGTGGGGTTGCCCCTGGAACTGCCATCGAGAAAATAAATTCGAGTCGTTACCCGCCTTTAGTGGAAACCCTTGCGGAGTCCCCAGCACTCCGTTGTCGGGTTACTACTACTATGCTGTGTTGTGGGAGGGTGTAAAGTGCGTGTTATATCTTTTGCACGGGTAACTGTTTCGGGTATCGTACGGGTGTGTGCTAGACGTAGACCGTGCGCTTCTGTTGTGTTAAGAATGCCGCCAGGTGTTCTTTGTGTTTCTTTTTATATGCCGCCAAGTGCACCAATTTTTGTATTTTGAAGGGTTTTAGGATGGCGTCGTCCGCACGAAAAATGCGGGCACGACGCACTGCTGTGGCCGGCCGGGAGTTAACACCGTCTCTAGTTTTTTTCTAGACTTCGTCGTGGATTCGCGGTAGCGGTGGAATAGCCCCGAGTCCTGACCTTCCAATATATTTTTCGAGAAAATTCACACGATTCGGGTGAACGAACGAACCGTGAGATTTGAGCGGAATGTGCATTTAGTTTTGGTGATATGATTTCCCCATACGAAAAACTCGTGTGAAGGTAGGCTACGGAGACGCGTGTGACCTGTTATGTCACTTGTGTCACCACGCTCAAGGCTCGTCAATTTCTTGTCTTAAGTACGAGATGGCTTCGAAGCTCACCTGTTGTGTTCCCATCGGCGTGTGCATGTGTCAACGCGGTATGTCCAAAGACACCCACAAATTATTATTACCAACCAGTGTTTGATCGGTGGGTGTATGCATACCACTTCCTTTGTCCATGGGCTAAGCTTGCCGGCCGCTTGACAGGCGTAGGTTGTCGGGGAGAAAGTGTTTGGTGACCTGGGTCCCTCGACACCCGTCGAAAACAAAAACACATCACACTGCACGCGTTCAACGACCAAGCCCATATGTATGCTATGCTGTCACGCATTCTGTACGAAGCGTCTCTTGGGCCTCCTGGGTTGTTTGATAGATGGCGGCCAAAGCTTCTTGTAGGTTGCGATGTACAGTCTCCATTTTCCGTCCCCTCTTGTTGGGACGGGATGGGATGGGATGGGAAGGATGCTTGCTTCCCTGATGGTAAACGTTTGGACGGCGTGATGTCTCCCACGATAATCTTTGTTGACCCGAAAAAATTGTTTCTGGATACTATTATGCATATGAAATTATTGCTTTTGGAGAATTCCATGATATGCTAAAAATGTACTTGCATATGCACATTCGTTCAGTACCCTCTATCCTGCCACGCCAACTGACACGCACCCAAAGTCAACAGCAGTAGCAGCAGCAGCAGTCTGACGCCCGCACATATTCTGGGGCTGACCAACACCAACACAAAACGTGGCGCCCGGTGACAGGCTGTTATCGCTCGCCCGCATGCCCCCCCCCCCTACCCGCTGACACCGTATCTAGTTTTCCCTTCGAGATCAAAAGCCTGTTCTCCGCTTGCGTTGTGATGCGGCTGGACACGCACCGGTTCATCCGATCTCAGGTCCCAACACGCCGTCGACTGTGTGCACGCACCATGCCAACTCCCATGCCAACTCGGCACAAAACGACCAAAGTCTGCGACCAGAAACGGACAATTTCGTGCTATTAATACTATGTACGCATCACCAACAACAACGTGGTTTACACAATAAAACAGCACTAGACCAACTAGACTTCCTTGAAAACGGCGCGCGAAAACGCAAAGTATATAATCATTAAAAATCGACTTCCGCGAAAGCGATCCATGCTTCATGAATCTCGACATCGTCGGTCGCATCCCGCCTCCTCCCCTCCCTTTCCACCCCACCCGGTCCACCCATGCCTTCTATATGTAGTGCGCTAGGCGGACAATCATGGTCAACCCCGTCGTCTGTAGCCCCGTGACAACTGCCCCCCCCCCCCTCTCCCCGTACGCTACATCATCTGTCGGACCCGTCGGGGGCGCGCCCGGACGCACACCTCTGGTTTCTTTCCGCCCCGTACAGTAGCCTCTGCGTACTGTTTCTGCTGCGCACACAACACTCCTCTCTTGTCAACGATGTACACGGCAGCGACACACACATATTTAGATGTACCCTGACTTCCTCAAAACGTGAAACGGACGATTACCAACCCGGAACACAAACAAACAACGAAACCCTGATGGACGTGTGCCTAGCACCCTCCAGCCCCCCGCCCCCCCCCCACAAGTCCCCGCGTACCCAATACTGCATACTGTAGGTTTCCACTGCCTGGTGGACCTATTCTTCACAAACGCACACAAACATATCCATCCGCCAACTCTATCGCCTGGCATGCTAGGCTATCTTTTGAAAACGATGAATCCTCCGAAAAACAGATGACAGCACCCACCGAACACACAAAAACAACACGTGGGTGACACAGAAGCTACAATCACTCAAGCCGAGAAAAAAATCTGAGGTTCATCTCAAGCCAAGAAAAAAAAATGACGAAGGCTCTTGATTGATTGTATCATCGGGTACCACCGGTCCTTACACCCCGGAAGTCTCTGCTCCTTTTCGTCCTTGTCCCGCCAGGTTGGACTGCATACAGTAGTACTGCACCCAAATAACTTCACGAGGAAGAAGATAGCCTTTCTAGCAGGGCTTGCCGGGCACTCTTGCTCAGCCCTCCCTTGGCGCTCAGCAAGCCTTCCACCACGGCCTCGGGGGATGCCGAAGCCAGTTCGGAAACCTGGGTTTCCAAAACAGAGGTGGGCGTTTCGCGTGCGGGGGGGAGGGGAGGGGCGTACTCATGTTTCGCATCACATGCCTTAGCTGTTACACCTTTGATTGACCACGAATCCTCGGAGAAGACGGAGAAATACAAGGGGGGCACTAATGTATATGCACGCCGTAGTCGGTAGACCATAGGCCTCGCATCCATGTAATGCCGGGACGGAGCGATCGGAAGGGGGGGGGGGGGGGGGGGGGTCCCAAGAGGG